AAAATGAAAAACACTGCTGAAAAATGTATAAAGTAATTACATAAACCGAGAGGGGATCTATAGGCTTTATAATGAAGGAGTTCTAGAAAGATTGAGGATCACTCGATAGTTCAGTTTTGTTTTCTCCGCTCACAAAATTCTTTCTGAACTTTAAAAGAAAGCCAAAGTTCAAATGGTCATGTCAATGCTTCAATTTTATTTGTTTTTATTATGTCTGCTTCTCTACTACCAATTACTCTAGCATAACTCAGTGGTACGCTACAAACGTGTTTTTTATGCTGTATTGGACGAGTATGGACAATACAGAGGACAAGAATTTAGCCTTTTCTCTTCTTTAATTTGAGCTCACCTTACCAAACAAGCTATTCGGGTCTTGGAACTGTATTTTCTCCTATCTGGCCTGGAACTATTAGGAAAGCTAAATTACTTTCACTACATCAATGTTGAAGAGAAATTATTTATTTCCTGAAATTACTTCTCTCTTCTGTTTGTTTCTTTTCTTCCTTTGGATAAGAAAGAAAATTAACTTGTAATAGTTTTTTCTTTTCAATTTATCGTAGGAGGTGTGCGAGAAAAATGCTCTTGTGAACTTGTTTCTTCTTCAAACTTCCTTGATTTTATATCCAATGTTATTCATTTGTCATTACTTGCAAGTCATTTTCTGTCAGGAGAAAAGTTGTCTCCTCTTGCTTATAATCTATGCTCAAGTAAGATGAAATAGTCAACATGTTTCATGGAGTTCGGTTCAAGTTGTAGCTTAAAACTGAGATGGATTAGTTATTTAAATCATAATTTGCTTAATTTTTCAGGTTGACGGGCTTGTTCATCTTGAGAAAACTGCAGATAAGTGGGGAAAGAACAAGCAAGGGGAAGAATGGCAGGAGCAGTGGTGGGAGCATTATGGTGCCTCTGGCAAAGTGGATAAATGGGCTCACAAGTGGTGCAGCATTGATCCTAACACTCCCCTTGAGGATGGTCATGCTCATGTTTGGCACGAACGGTACCAAAAGTGTTCAGAGCTTACATTCCTATTTAACAATTAAAAAACTATGACCTTGTTTGATCCCCATTTTTTTCAAAATACATTTTTTTCTCTCTTTTTTTCAATCACACATTCTTCAATAAAATGATATTACACACAATCCAAAAATTTTTCCTTTATTTTTAACCTCACATTCTCCATCAATCTACTGTTCCAAAATACATTCTACACAAAAAATGGGCTCAAACGGGCCCTATATTTTTTTATTCTGTATCTCATATGATACACGAGCATTTGGCATGAAGAGCTTGTGCACTAAGCTTAAAGGTTTACTTTTTACTCAAAATTAAATAAGTTCTAAATAAGAAATTATTTTATTGGTCAAAGTAGGTAAGAGTTACTTTCAAAATAAGTAATTCTTTTTACACAAAAGCAAGCAAGCAATATTCAAACACGGTTGGAAATAAAAAGTTACTCTCTTCGTCCCATAAAAATATGTTCGTTTATATTTTCCTCATAGATTAAGAAAATTTAGTTAATACATGTTGGAACTATAAATTTTACTTATATTTTTCTAATATACCCCTAAATTGAATAATGGTAGCTCATATTTGTTGAACAATGCACATTAAATAGAGGTGTATTGAAAATTAAGACATTCTTATACTCTTGAAAGTGGCCTACAATTTGGGGTAAACAAAAACGGAAACCAAGCCTATCTTTGTAGGATGGAAGTAGTACTTAAGAAGTAACTTTTCCTTTTTATAAAGCTTAGCTGAACATGCTCAAAATGTATTTTATTTGTGCACAGTGCATGCCATTTGGAAAGTATTGTTCAATTTATATGTGTACATGGCTAACACAAGAGCTTAAACTTTTAGATTAATTGATTCAACATTAATGATTTGTTTGTAGATTGAATGCTTTCTTTGTAACTTGTGTACTGATTATTGCTGCTAGGTGGGGTGAAAAGTATGATGGGCAAGGTGGCAGCACTAAATATACGAATAAATGGGCAGAGCGTTTTTAAGCTCATATTTGTTGAACAATGCACATTAAATAGAGGTGTATTGAAAATTAAGACATTCTTATACTCTCGAAAGTGGCCTACAATTTGGGGTAAACAAAAACGGAAACCAAGCCTATCTTTGTAGGATGGAAGTAGTACTTAAGAAGTAACTTTTCCTTTTTATAAAGCTTAGCTGAACATGCTCAAAATGTATTTTATTTGTGCACAGTGCATGCCATTTGGAAAGTATTGTTCAATTTATATGTGTACATGGCTAACACAAGAGCTTAAACTTTTAGATTAATTGATTCAACATTAATGATTTGTTTGTAGATTGAATGCTTTCTTTGTAACTTGTGTACTGATTATTGCTGCTAGGTGGGGTGAAAAGTATGATGGGCAAGGTGGCAGCACTAAATATACGAATAAATGGGCAGAGCGTTTTTAAGCTCATATTTGTTGAACAATGCACATTAAATAGAGGTGTATTGAAAATTAAGACATTCTTATACTCTCGAAAGTGGCCTACAATTTGGGGTAAACAAAAACGGAAACCAAGCCTATCTTTGTAGGATGGAAGTAGTACTTAAGAAGTAACTTTTCCTTTTTATAAAGCTTAGCTGAACATGCTCAAAATGTATTTTATTTGTGCACAGTGCATGCCATTTGGAAAGTATTGTTCAATTTATATGTGTACATGGCTAACACAAGAGCTTAAACTTTTAGATTAATTGATTCAACATTAATGATTTGTTTGTAGATTGAATGCTTTCTTTGTAACTTGTGTACTGATTATTGCTGCTAGGTGGGGTGAAAAGTATGATGGGCAAGGTGGCAGCACTAAATATACGAATAAATGGGCAGAGCGTTTTCAAGGTGATGGCTGGGACAAATGGGGCGATAAATGGGACGAACACTTTGATCTCAACAGCCAAGGGGTAAAACAAGGGGAGACATGGTGGGAAGGTAAACATGGAGACCGTTGGAATCGAACGTGGGGCGAGGGTCATAATGGTTCCGGGTGGATTCATAAGTATGGCAAGAGCAGCAGTGGGGAGCATTGGGATACACATATACAGCAAGACACTTGGTACGAGAAATTCCCACATTATGGTTTCTACCATTGCTTCGAGAACTCTGTCCAGCTCCGGGAGGTCAAGAAACCGTCAGAGTGGTCATGAGAAATTACCGTAGATACGTACATTTCTGCCGATGTTGTGATGACTTGTGCCAGTTGTAACTTTCACATATTTCATATCATTGTTATAACATCTGTTACAATTCAAATTTAGTATAAGATATAGCCATATTATCAATATAGTTATTGTGGGTTGTGAACTTTAAGAAATAAAATGATGTAATTTTACCAGTATCTTCATTCTTCATGTTGCATTCTAAGATTTATGAAGCTCTGGTTATATTGTTATCTAGGTGAGCATTTCATGCTTCTGGGAGTTTTTCTCGAAGGTGAAACTATAATTTATTTGAACTAGTCAGTCTACGCAAGTCTATTAGTTTTCTCATGGGAGTAGGCTAGTAGCTCTCTTCACGTCACCCCATCGAGAAAGTGTTTCATTTGTTATGTAGTACTCAACTTTAACTTCACCACAGAACTCGACAAACTTATCTTAATCCTACTATGTTGACAAACGGTTGGTAAAATTTTGTCACACAAATCTGTGTGACTTTATTATTTTAGTTATTTTGTTCTTTTATCTTGTGAAGTAAAAATGTAAGAGTAATATTTTAAGTAAAATCATTAGTATAAAAAATTCAACTTTCTTAATTTTTTTATAATTTATAATGTGTCGAGTTCATTTTACTAAGTGATTTTTGTAACAAGTGGTGAGTGATCGTGGTGACAATTTCGATGCTTCAATCCATTATAAAAACTCTTAATAGAAATAATTCCAAGCAATTTATGTAAAGTAAATTCCAGAGAAAAAATTTAATACGTTGGTGTAAATTTTTGCATTTTTGAGTTTTTTTATTCTCAAATATTCCTATATTCTCTTCATGTTCTAAAATTTTCTTGAATCATACTACATGTATAACATTGATTGATAATACTAGTTGACAACATCCTATTTGACATAATTATATCCATTCATTTTAAAAAACTGTTTTCTACATCATATACTAAGATTTTCACAATACATGATTGTCAATAAATGTTGTACACTTAAATTTATTCAATTTTCTTAGCATATTTTCTTTTCGGACAGTGCTAGACGTACTCGCTGGCTTACTACATGGTTCACTCAATGCTGACGTGGCTGGAAATTGAAAATTCAACTGAGACAAAAAAAACCCAATTAAAAGGTGCCAAAACTCCCGTCATTTCCATCTCCTCCGCAGTGAAGAAGCTCCCGGCGAAAATGAAGCAACTTGAAAACTCAGTCGACGTAGCCGGCGACTTGGACGACGGCGACCACATGTCGGCGAACCCTTTATTTTTCCCCCCACACGCTGACGCTGAGACATGTTTTTGACAGAGATGAAGGGGAAGCAGACAACTCCCACACCGACCACGCCGACAACAGCGCGTCGACAACAACATGGGTAAGATGTTTTCAATTTAATCTCCATTAGATGGCCAAAAGTGGGAAGCTTAACTGGTGGTGAAGGGCTGATTGTTGACTGTGTTGTGAAGTGGGAGGTTTAGCTGGTGGTGAAGTGGGAGGTTTAACGGGTGGTGAAGTGGGAGGCTTAACCGGTGGTGAAGTACTGTTTAACTGGAGGGGCTTGGGTGTGGCGTGGGGTGGAGGTGGATGTTGCGGTGGGGCGCAGGGGCTGGTGAACGAGCTAGGCAGTAGCACTCTCCATTCCAACCTTAATTTCTAGGTTAAAATTCGGCTTGAGTCTTAATCAGTGCTGAAAAGATCGGTCATGCCTTTAGAGACCGTCCTATAGAAGGTTTGGCTCTTGAGGAAGCAGAAGATATTGAATCTCCACAGGCTGCTGCAGACGTGATCCGCCGGTGCAAGGAATATGCTGAAAAGTATGAAAATGAGAACCCGGATCAAGAGGCAGTGCTTGTGGAGGAAAGTAGCGGGGAATCCGAAACCATCAGAAATATGGGACTGTGAAACTATTGTCTCTACATATTCAAATCTTGACAACCACCCTGCTAAAATTGTTGCTCCTGGAGGAAGGAGGAAGAAGAAATTAACAGAAACCATATCCGGAGCTCAAAGTGTTGTCAGCCAAATGATAGTTCTAAAGGGTAGAGAAAAGCTTCCTGTAGGCTTTTTACCCCAAAGAGAGATGCATGGCGTAGAAAAGGTGAAAGCTAATAAAGATCCAAATAATTCAAGAACAGAACAGCAGAAGAGGAAACCACGCAGTCTAGAGAATAAGGATGAAATGAAAGAGAGGTGTAAAATGGTTTTCTTTTCCCCAAGCCGCCGTTATGTTTGACTAGAGGGAGTATGCCATGTCAGCAGGAAGTAACCATTTCAGGATATTGGTGTAGTACATATAGATTTTTCCTTTTCTAGTCGGCGACGTTTTGATACTAATAGAAAACGATAGACACGCCATCGTTTGAACTTTGTAGCTTAAAGCTCATCGTGTGGATAGTAATCAAAGTTTGTGGTGGGAAACCCTCTGCAACATATTCAAGCACCTTCAATAGGAAGCCCATTTCTCTATCAAGAAAAGTATGTATATGTGTGTGTATAGCTGAAGATCAAGAACCCAATAAGAACAAATAGAAAAAATAAAAACCCTTATTTGTGCGCATTTCTATCCCAATTGTTCACCAGGGTTTGAGGTGAACACTGATTTTCAAATTGCATTTGTTTGTGGGTTTGCTTGATCTTCAAGGCAATGGCTTCTTCTTTACTCAGTGGAGCTGAAAATCTCATGTTCATTAATAGTCGACAATTTGTTGGTTCAGCTTCCAAATTTCCCATTAAGCAGTGGTGTAGCGACCGCGAACTTTTAAATTATATAAATTAATTTTCTCGAAAAACGTGTCGCTAAAACGTAACCCTAATTTTTCTAGAGAAACGCGTTCGTCTAGCCGTTATAAAAAACGAATTCAAATATATTCGATTGAATCCAATCCCAAATAATAATTTTATTATCAATTCGATTTATTTTATTTAAATTCGATTTTTATAAATCTCAAGTCCAATTACATAAGCCCAATGTTTAAGCCCAATTATATAAGTCCAATTATACAAGTCCAACAAGGAAATCATTTTAATCCAAATCACCTAAGCCCAATTAGAAAACCCTACAGCCCAAATGTTAGGCCCAACTATTCCTAACCCAATTACCCACCTAGGGATTTGTGCCCTAATTCCCACTATTCATATACACTCTTTCCCCCCATTTCATACATCACGCAGTCAAAATCATTTTTGGTAAGAATTCCTCTCATCTTCCTCAATTTGGAAGTTCACAATTTATGATAGAAAATTCAATCCCTAACATCAACCAATTTGAGATTCATGTGTGATGCTAGAAAATCAATTTCTAGCAATCAACAGCCAATCTCAATCCACTCCTGCAGAAATCGCACCACCACAGCCAACTCCATCAACCTCAGCACCGAAAAATGCCAACACCACCATCTCCAAACCAGTCACTGCCCAACCAACACCAAGCTGCAACCTCAAC